AGGGTTTGGGGTTTAGGGTTATTTGGTTTTGGTTGAAGGTTCAGGGCTTTATGGCTCATGGTCTTTAGGGTTCCGGTGTTTGAGGTTTACGGTTTAGGGTTGAGCTACATTTGGAATAACGCCGAAAGCCTATTTAGGATAATGTAGACCGTGACTAACACACCCCTTTTCTTTCAGGGCCTTGGCATTAGGAGAGCTTGCCTAAACCCCGAACCATAAACTCAGCGCCTACAGCCTACAAAACAACTTAAAACACTAGACCCTAAACCTTATACCGTAAACCAAAATCCTGTGGGCTACCTCGGCAAGGGCCCTTTGGGCATGCAACCGTGCTGCCAAACCTCAAAGCCCCGCAAGACCCCCTTGGACTGTTTTTTTATTGATTTATTATTCGTATATTCTTCTTAGACCCCCTTGGACTGTTTTTCTATTGACCCTAAACCCTAAACCCTATACCCTAAACCCTAAACCATAAACCCTTTATTGGTATATTTCTTCTTGTGATTAATAAATCCGTTTGGGGCTTGGAGTCGGTTTGAGTTTACAGTTCAGTCGCGGTTTAGCGTTCAGCGTTTATGCTTTTGGGATAAAGCCTTAAGTTCCCCTTCGAAGCACTTCGAAAGCCCTAAACCAAAAACCCTGTAAGCCCTACACCCTAAACCCCCAACCTGAAACCCTATAAACCCTAAACCCTAGCCCTAAACCCTGAACCCTAGCACCTCGAAAGCCCTAAACCCTAACACCGGTGTGTTCCCGAGAGGTGTCCATGTACGTCCGAAGCTCAGTCCTCCGAATCAGGGGGCTTCCCAAAAACCCAATAGCCCCTAAGGGTTTAGGGTTTACTTTAAAGGCTCTACGCGAATGTACATATGCTACAAGATACGTCATGACCGAATTCTAGTTCTTCATGCCCCCATGGTAACCGCCAACACAAACCTTCACGAGATCTCATAAACTCCAAAACTAGCTCGTCATCAAAGAAGTTGAACATTTCGGGTTTAGGTTTTAGTGCTCACGGTATGATGTAGGGCAATGTTTGTTTCAGGGATGTATAAAGGCTTTGTAACTTTGTTTGGCTATGGTAACGCAAGTTCAGCTCCTTAAGAGCCCAAACTGCCGCACTAAGCCCTAGGCTCTAAAGCCAGAGCCCTAAACCCAAGTAAGATCATCTTTGAGTCTTCTTAAGGCTTCAGACGAATCTAGGGTCCATGTAAGGGTTCTGGGTTTTAGGGTTTAGGGTTCCGGGCTCATGGTTCAGGGTGTAGGGTCGCTAGCATTGATTTCACCTCATGGCCTCTACAGAATTATGCACGACTACAATCTGCACCAACATCGTCTTGTCATCATGAAGGGCCCCCACCGGAATCGAGGGATCCGTCAACCCGAACCCTATACCCCAAACTGCACACAAGCCAAGGCCCCTAAACCTCTGAACTTAAAATCCCTCAACCCTAAACCCCCAAACCCCTAAACCCTGAACGCCAAGCCCAAAACCCGACACCCTGAACCCTAAACCCCTAGACCCTGCTTTGCAGGGTCCAATGCGAGCCTCTGTCACATTACTGTTACTATGACAAGTATTATTAATATTTTTACTGGTAGTAATGTTGTTACTACGATTATTTCATAATATTAGTACAATATTTTTAATGTTATTCTCAACGTTATAGCATTATTGTTGACATCGTTAGTATTGTTACCCTGATGATCATTTTCATGATATGATCATTATGACCATAGCAGCCACGAGGTCGGTGAGGAGCTGCGCAGCTGAGCGGCTTTTTAGGGTTTCGTTGGGGTTCGGGGGAGTTGAAGCTTAGGATGTTTTAGGGTTTAGGGCTTTTTTTGGGTTCAAGGTTTGGGGTCTAGGGTCTGGCTGTTTTGAGCTTCTTTTTGGAGCTTAGGGTTTGGGTGTGTTGACAAGCTGCTGTTCAGGGGTTTAGATTTTTTGTTTCCTCGCGTGGGTTTCATCAAGTAGCATTTGGAATCTAGGATGTAGAGGGTTCAGGGCTGAGGTGGTTGGCTTCTTCTTGGAGGCTTGTGGGAGGTTGGGCTTGAACCCCAGGCCCTAAACCCTCTAGACCCTAAACCCTAAACCCTAGGAACCCTAAACCCTAAACCCTAAACCCTAAACCCTAAACCCTAAACCCTAAACCCTCTAGAGCTTGGGGTTCAGGCTGAGGGCTTTGAAGCTCAGTGGCGCTATTGGAGTTGCGGGTTTTGGCTCCCTGCAGGAAGCACCACTCCTCGACTTTATGTTTCTTTGTAGTAGGGAAGGTCTTTTTAGGATGCTAAAGGGCTTTTGACGGGTTTTTTAGAGGATTTTGGGCCGAAGCGGCATCCGAATACAAATGTTGAAGGCTTTTGGCGGTTCAGGGGTCTCCTGTTTAGGGTTTAGTGACTTTAGTGCTTTCGGAGTCTTGGAGCAAAGATTCAAAAATCTAGAGCCCATGTCCTTCAAAGGCTTAATATCAAATTCCATGACAAGCCTTTTTCAAGAAAGGGGGTTTGTTGATCAGGGGTTGTGCTGCAAAAATGGCCAGAAGTGGACGCTGGAAAAGTGAACCCCAATTCCTCGGACCCAATACGTTATATATCTGAAAAAAGCCTTGAAAGCCCCCTTACGAAAAGCTAAGACAGTCTTTTTAGCATCCTGACGACGAGCTTTAAGTTTGACGAAGGAGCCGTAAGTTCCAGAGCCCCAAAACAAAATCCGAAGCCCCACAGCTCCGAAGAAGCCTCGAGTTGTAGACCATACCCTAAACCCTAAACCCTAAACCCTAAACCCTAAACCCTAAACCCTAAACCCTAAACCCTAAACCCTAAACCCTAAACCCCATACACCCACCCCCGAAACCTCAAGTCCCAGCACCAAAAGCCTTGGGGAAAACCTGAATCCACAAATCAAAGGCCGTTGTCACACAACCTCAAAGCCCTAAACCCTAAACCCCAAACCCTAAACCCTAAACCCTAAATCCTAAACCCTAACCCCTAAACCCCTAAACCCTAACCCCGAAACGCAAAGGGGCCCCGACCCAGAGAACCCAATACACCGTAATTGAGGGTTCAGGGCTTTAGGGCTTTAGGGTTTAGGGTTTAGGGTTCAGGGCTTTCCCAGAGAACCCAATATCCCTTAATTAGGGAATGTTCCTTATATTATAGAGGCCCTCCTATTATGATTGGAGATAGATTCCTGAATTAAGGGGTATTGGGTTCCCTGGGTACACTCAGGAAAAGTGGACCCTAAACCCTAAACCCTAAGCCCAAAGCCCCCTACACCAAGGAAAAGTGGACCCTGACTTGGCGGAGAGCAGCGGCTTCGCCGCTCCGCGCGCGCTGTTGGACGTGGAGCGCCACGGTCGGAGGGGAGGATCCGGGTTCCTTTAGGGTTGAGGGTTTAGGGTTTAGGGTTTAGGGTCTCTAATTGAGGAGAATACACCTGAAATTCTTGGGGCCTTTTTGTTGTGACTTTAGGTGTGTTATTGAATTAACGGGCATTGGGCTGTCTGGGGTTTCCTTTTCTAGGTTTCAGGGTTCAGGGTCTAGGGTTTGAAAGGTTTAGGGTTCAAGCTTCAGGGTTAGGATTTATGGCTCGTCGGGTTTTTTCTTTGGGGTTGGACAGCCGAAGACCCATGTACCATGCCTAAATTGTTACCAATTTCATTTTGGGGGTTGCTTACTATAAGTATATCATAATGTACCCCAATTCTTCTAATGACTCAGGCTTCTATCTTGGCTGAAATGCTCCTTAATTGAAGGGTTCTCGGCTGGCTGACCCAAAGGACCCAATCCGCGGCTTAATTAAGGAAGGTGCCTTAACAGAATGATTTGCGGTATGTTCAAGTTGTTCATTTAGAGTTTAGGGTTTAAGGTACGGGCCTTGATAATTATGATTTGCGGTATATTCCTCAATTGAGGGGTATTGGCATCTGTGGGCAGCATAGACCCCTCAACCCTCACAGAACCCTTAGAAGTCCGTTTAAGTCTAAAGCCCAGCCCCAAGCCCTAAGCCCTGAATTCAAAATCTCAAACCCTAGACGCTTAAAAACATGCAGCCAGGAGACTTCCGAATATGGTTGATACGGTTGATGGACAAAATCCTGCATGACCCAAATATAGTATAGTACCATAAATCCCATAGTTTAGGTATATAAGGTCATGCAGGATTTTGTCCATCAACAGTACTACCGACTTTTAGTCCTCATACTTTATAGTAATAAAACCCATAGTATACCCAAAGCCTTATTGAAAGTTATGACAAGGCCTTACATTGGGCTAAGGCTTAGGGGGTGAAGGGCTTTGGGCTAGCTAAAGCCTGAAAAGGTTTAGGGTTTAGGGTTTAGGGTTTAGGGTTTAGGGTTTAGGGTTTAGGGTTTAGGGTTTAGGGTTTAGGGGAGCAGCAAGCCAGACACTTTCGCTCAGCATCCCACCTCCAAGAGCCGACAGAAGATGCTCTCAATGATATCAAATGCTGTCACAATCACGGGAACTGTACTGTCTCTGACATGACACGGGCAATCATATTCAGACCTATTCTTAGATATACACATATATGTAAATAATTATATAATTATATGTATAGTTACATACATACACATACATATACATATACATGCGGATATGTATATATATATATATACACACATACACACATATATTGCAGGGTCCTGGCCGAGTGTGGCAAACGACCTGAAGACGTATCCGCATTGTGAAGACGGATTCGTCATCACAATAATTGGCGCAGACGCATTAGCAGGCGCAGACGCATTCTGAAGACGCATTGGGTGAAGACGTACTGGGAGGTGCAGACGCGTTGGGAGGTGCAGACGCATTTTGAAGACGCATTGGGAGGTGCAGACGCATTTTGAAGACGCATTGGGTGGCGCAGACGCATTTTGAAGACGCATTGGGTGGCGCAGTCGCATTGCGAAGACACCTTGGATAGGCGCAGACGCATTACGAAGACGCGTTGGATACGCGAAGACGAATTGCGATGACACGTTGGGGTAGCGAAGACGGCTTCAGAAGACACATTGCGAGGCTACGGCCCAGGTAGGTGCAGACGCATTGCGAAGCCGCTCTCACGACATAACGGCCACGAACAGAATGCAATGACAGGTTCGCATGCATGACTCGCATGACATACAGGGCCTCCTCTGCAAGAGTTATGATCTAAAATCAGGGGCACCCCACCAGATCGATTGAGATCAGCGGCGCCCCCACCAGTCCCAGGCTTTATCCCCGGAGTTCAAGTTTTGTGAAAGTTCTGATTTCAAGATCCAGGGCTCCCCATCAGTCCAAGGCTCCATCCTCGGAGTTCAAATTGCGTAAGAATTATGATTTACAAGTGAGCATGCAAAGCAAACGCATGCAAGACATACTTCGGGAGCAGTACCAGGAGCCTTCGTTTCATCACGAAAAGGGTTGTTCTTGGCAAGGCTTCGGGAGCAGTTGTTTTAATTGCATGGTGCAAGCGCCGTTTCGTCATTGTTTTGGAAGTCCCAAATGTTTTTTTGCCTGCATGGAAAAATGATTTTGGGGGGTTGGTGCCCTAAACCCTACTCTTCCAAAAAACCTCTAAACCCTAAACCTTACACAATCAACTTCAACGCCCGAAAGGGGATCTATGGGCCCCGGCGCTCTGACCGGAGGCGGCCGGAGAATCCCGCTGCAGCAGCACATGGCCGGCAAAGACACTATGGAGTCCTGGTCGCTTCGGCATCCCTGAAAATTATAAGTAAGTACAACGTTCGAGCGGACTTTTCCTTAAACCGAAATTCCAAATCGTCTTTCCAGGAGTACACTGTGTTCAACTGCCGCAACCTGTTCCACAGCTCTTTCGTGCCCGGCGAAAGAGGACTATCCGCTCAAGGTTGCAAAGGCCGGCTGTATAACCAGAATTCATTTGCAGGCGCTTGGCGTGGGCTGTTTTGCAACACTGAAGGGTGGCCTTGTCCAGATCACATCGAGACGAGACGGCGGTCTGCGCGAGGTGGATGGGAAGGCGTCAAAGTCGTGGTGCCACTTGCATACTTGCTGCTTGAGGCCAGCGCTGGCACAAAGCAGTGATGTAGAACCCTCTCGATCAACTGTTTTGCTTGAGGACTTACTTAGGGGTTTAAGGTTCCAAATCTAGGGCTTAGGAACATTCATTGATGGCGATTTTTTCCCGAGGAACGCCCTGGTCGACGGAGCTCAGGCACGCGCGGCGACTGCAATCTTCGCATGTCCCCGCTGCCATTGATATCCTCCAGCATGCGACGGAACTGTATGCCACGCAATGCCTGGCGGGCGCGCAGATTTTGGCGTCTCACCGGCGCCGCGTCGGAGTAGATGAGACGGACCTGAGAGCTTATCTACAGATCCTGCGGCTGGCACCCGGAGACGTCATCTGCCAATCGCGGCCGCAGAATCCGCGGCAGAAGTGAGCTCGCTGCGGTTGCGGTCGTGACCTGGTCGTGTAGGGTTAAGTTCATGTTTAGGGTCCAGCATTTAGGTTTCGATGAGATGGCTTTAGGGTTTAGCAAAGTTGTACTTTGCGCCACGTTGCCGTGAATCATGGCCGCACGACCTGCAGCAACTTTTGTGTGCCGAGTTGCGGAGTGCGTGGGGCACTCAAACTTCTCGAAAGATGCGAATGTCATCTTCTAAGCGCCTATAAAGGTGCTAGCTACTAGCAGTGCAACTGAGCCTAAAGCTTGTCCACAACCCGTGCAGTCAAAGGTACAGCTGCTGAAATTGCCGGTCCCTGCTGGTCGTTGTTTGTCTGCTAGTCCTTGCCAGTCGTTCCCTGCCAGTCCCTGTCCGTCGTGTAAGGAAGGCGGAATGACTTTAGTGACCCTGCCATAAATCATTGCCCAGCAAGGGTATGCCCTGCGAAAACAGACAACCTCAAGGATTTTTAAGTGCTGTTAAAATTCCAACAGGCTTCCCACCCCCACAGCTGTCGTCAGGCTTGAAGAAGCAAAGGAAAGCCGCACTTGAAAACATACGACCCGTTAGCATCCAATAGTGTTGTAGGCAACTTGCTTAGAGAACCGTTCGGAGCACGAATAATCCTGCGAAGCCTTGCTAAGAGCCCTTCCGAACAGGAATAATCATACCAAGTATTGCCGAGAACCCGCTTGCTACCACTCCTACGGAACCTTGCTTAGAGCCCTTCAGAACAGGAATAATCTTACAGAGTATTGCCTAGAAGCTTTGCGCTGTTAGTCTTACACAACCTGGCTGAGAACCTTGTGGTGCGCGAATAATCATACTAATCGAATAATCTTACAAAATATTGCCCAGCAGCCGTTTACTACGAATCTGTTACAGGGCTCATTCGGGGGGTTTGCAAGGCGTTTAGATAATGGCTGAGATACGGGGAAGATCTCAATACCCCCTCTAGCAGCACAGTAGCAACAGAAAGCTGAGGGACCCTAAGCAGTCAAGATGACTTTTCCAAGGCTTCAAAAATCATTTTAGCCATCAGGGCCACATAGGGACCTTGGACTCGAAACATGCCGCCTGGCCCCTTAATATGTCCAAGAGAACACTAATTCCTTTCCAGCAGGACCACGTCGCCTTCGTCACCTTGGCTGGTTCGTGGCTCTTGGAGTTCTCGCCGGCCTTCGTCACAATGATCTCTCCCACATAAACCGTAAACCCAAAGCCCTAAACTCTTATTGAAATAAAACTAAGCGCCTCCGTCTAAACCTGTATTTCCAGACAAATTAACGCCTTCCAAGCTATTTGAGGGTTTCATTCACTGAACCGATTTCTCACGAATGCTGATGGAAAGCAGCACAAGCAACGATTTGGCAATTGAACCCCAAATCGCGCGATTTGTGTTCCCAACCTTTGAAGAAGAGCAAATTTGAAGCGATTTGTGCTGGCGATTTCAAATCGCAGCGTTTTGATTCCGCGATTTAATCTACAAAGGTCACGACCCCATTCGGCGTCACCACCTATTCCGGCGTCACCAATCCGGCATCACACCTATTGCAGCGTCAGCAATTCGGTGTCACCGCCTTATGCAGCGTCAGCAAGTCGGCGTCACCACCTGATGTGGCGTCAGCAATTCGGCGCCACCACCCAGTGTGGCATCAGGAGACAATTCGGCGTCACGACCCAATTCGGCGTCAGGGGACAACTCGTCGTCAGACAATGCGGCGTCACAATTCGGCGTCACCTAAAGCAATGCGACTTCAGGAATTCGGATTCGGCGTCATGTCGTTTGCCACGCTCCCCCAGGCGCCCGCCCATATATATATATATATATGCTACAAAGGACCCTGCGATTCAGCAAGCCCGAAGGAGCAATGAGGCTGCTGGACTAGATACTTCTCCATTGCACGGCGTATACCAGACTCGCCGGCATAGCTTTCGGACGCCTTAACCTTCAACGCCAAGGCCTGGAGTTGTAGAGTCTTAGAGTCACTCAAGACCCCGAATCATTACACCGGTAAAAGGCTTTGCAGAAAATGTATAAGACCCTTAAAGAGCTCTATACAACCTGTAAAGGAGAAGACGCTTACAAGACCTTCATGGAGCTTGTAGTAGAACGTCTCGAGTATAAGACCCTTACCACAGGCCTTTGAGCATTTACAAAGCAATATAAAGCCGTTTAAAACTCGAATAGCACCGACTATTAGTCCGCTTGGAGAGCACACAAGAGCGAAGCCATAATTCAGAAACCGATGGATCGAATCCCTAGACCTTGAACCCTAGACCGTGCAAGGCTGCCGTTGCCTGTTTGTCAAGCATGGATTCTGATGCAGTTGGGTGCTGGGCAGCCGCGTTGTCAACCCGAGTCTGACGGATGGCAAGGGAAAGCGCTCCATGAGCGAAGCTGCTGATCAGACTTGGGAAATGCAGAGGAAGAAGAAGCAGAAACAAAGTGCGTCTGCGTCTAGCACTGCCCTGTCCGATCCGAAGCAGAAACACACTGCTGCCAATACATCCCGTCACGAGAGACCTTGAGTGTCCTCTAGTCAAGAGTTTCCGTCCCATTGTTTAAATACAAGTGCATATTTAATCTTAAGTATAAAGATCCAGATTATATCTATAGGCCAATCGATACAACTCTAAACACCAACAAAACCTTAACCCCAAACTCGTAAAAACCCTAAACCTTAAACGCTAAACCCCAAACCCCCAACCCTAAACCCTTGAAGCCCTAAGCCCCCCAAACTTTCAACCCCAACTCTTAAAAGCCTGAACCCACGACATTGCCCGAGCCCCACTCCTTCCCCCGCCCGTTTGATTCGAGGCCTTGCCTGGCGCCGGACAGCGACGTTGCTTGTTCGCAAGAGTTTAGGGATTCGGGTTTAGGGTTTAGGCGCGTTCCATTGGCTTTTGGAGGTTTCAATTTCCAGCATGTTGTAGTTAAAGGGAGATTCCTTCTTAGGGCATGTGGGGGTTCTAGCGCTTTTAGGGTAACTATAGGCTCTGGGATTCTAGGCTGTATTATTCCCTCAGCAGCTTCCAACCCCAAGTCTATAAGTCGCGCACAACAAAGTTAAGGTTCTGAGTTTTTCGATCATGCCCTCGAAGCCTAAGCATTTAAACCTTGGATCCTTGCATGGGGCCCTATACATACTCCTTACAAGTTCAAAGTTCAGGTCCTGGGGGCTTTGGCTTCGGTGTGAATTTTAACGCTACGCCGGCCGCCTCGGCTTGCCGGAGAGCAAGACGGTAATGCTCAGTTATGCTGCAGTCGCATGCCAAGGGAGGAGGAGAAAGAGCAGGGTAGGGTAATCAGGGAGCATTCAACCTATATTCAATACTTCGAACCCTTATGGAGCCGCTAGAAATCTCTTGAGAGAAACCTTTCCCGAATGCCTTTATCAGTTTTGCAGCCCGAACAAAGGCCGCGAGGCGCACGGAGTTTGTCAACCGCATGGAGACCGCAGTGCAGGGGGCGGTGACTGAAGCCCGGAGCAGGAACGGACCCATGGAAGGCATATACCTTAAATTAAAGAGGCCTTCATATCATGCTTTAAGGTATACTCCTTAATTAAGGGGTATTGGGTTCTGTGGGGAATAAGGACCTTAATATTATGATGTAAGGAATATTCCTTGCTTAAGGGGTATTGGGCTCTCTGGGGAGGGCCAGGGTACGAGTACCTATCAGTGAGGGTTCGGTATGTGTTTTAGCAGGACTTTCAACCAAGATTTTCAGAAGATTTGGGGTTTAGGGTTTAGGGTTTAGAAGAGTTCCAAAGTGCTTCCATAAGAGCTTCATGAATGTGTGCAAGGGGAGTTGTTTCCGATTAAGGATTTTGGAGGGTGTTTCAGGGTTGACAGATCCACTTCTGTGGTTTCAGGGCATTGTGTTTAGGGATCCGGGGATTTGGAGCTCGGGGCGTTGGATCACTAAGCCCTAAACCCGTATTAAACCCTAAACCCGACGCAGGAGCTGGAAAACGCTGATGTACGACGCCCGGCCCTGTCAGCATGGCTGTCACGATGCGGTGCTGCGCGTGGCGGCTTCTTGCCAAGCAGCAGACACTAGATATACTGTCCTGATCCCTAAATCCCAAACCCAAAACCTATAAACCGCTGGTCCTGCAGAAGGGAAGGAACAGCCGTGTACCCTAAACTCCCAACCCTTTGCAGAGCCCTTAACCCTCCTAGACCACCGTAGCACTCTATAAAAAACTTTGTTAACACCCCATTACATCCCAAAAAAGCCACAGTTTTGTCACAAGGTCGAGACCCTCTGGGACTCTGGGATACTTTCCTTGGGGAACTCCGACGCCCTGGCGCTCACGGTGCTTCAGGCCCCTAAACCCTAAACCCTAAATTGACGGTCTGGGGTAAGATTGATATGTCTGTGTGTGTGTGTCTCTCTGTCTCTCTGTCTGTCTTTCTCCCCCTCCAAGACGCACACACACACACAAAACAAACTCTTTCAGAAGTATGCGTGCATGCATGCATGCATGTGTGCATGCATGCATGTACATGCACACACACAGATATGCACATCTATAGATATATATATATATTTATTTATTTATTTATTTATTTATAATTACATGTATAATTATGTATGTATGCATGTATGTATGCATGCATGCATGTATGTATGTATGTATGTATGTATGTATGTATGTATGTATGTGTTCATGTACATGTATACGAATATGTACATGTATATGCATATGGATATGTATCGGAAGATGTACATGCATGTACATACATACACGTGCACATATATGTAAATAGGTACCTCCATTTTTATGCATGTGTGTATCTGTGTTTTCTTTGTGCATGTTTTCTTGCTTGGCATCCACGCGTTTCTGTATTCGGGTTATACCAAGCATATGGTTTGCCATTGTTGATTTCCCCTGGTCTGACGTCTTTCGACAGCTGCCCATATGCTGTTGTGCTTCAGTTTCATGCAGCGGCTTCCTTGCTTGTCCCTGCCGGTTAAGGGTTCTGTATACATCGAGCCCACTTGACTGGGACCAAGAATGGGGACATCATATAGGTCTTACCCGTAGATAGCCAGTTAGTGAGCTGCTTAGATTACTGAGCAGTAAGCAGTACCGACCAGCTCACTTGACTTGGTGAGTTCTCGAGTTTTCAGCGGGGACATTGCTAGTTGCAGCTGCTTGGTGATGAATCCTTGCTGCGTCGTTTTTTGGACAGCAACTGTTCGCTAGTGTTTGCTTGTGAGCCACATGCAGGCTGCCGTGTCGTCAGCGTGTTGGGTAGTGGCTACGAGTGTTCGATAATATATAGAGGCCTTAACAGTTACCAATCCTATCCCTTAGGGCTCTTTATTATTCTTTTACTATACAGGAGCCCAAAGCCCTATTCCTTATTATAACTGTACTATAGAGGAGCCCGGAGCCCAAAACCCTATTCTGACTATTAAGTTCCTTATTGTAGTTATACTATAGAGGAGCCCGAAACCCTATTCTAGTTATTAAGTTCCTTGTTACAATTGTACTATAGACAGTCAGACAGCCCAAAACCCTATTCTAATTATTAAGTTCTTTATTACAATTATACCATAGAGGAGCCCAAAACCCTATTCTAACTATGAAGGCCCCTACCTTGACTCTTTGGACACGCCCGAAGCCCGAGCCGGTTGGAGCGCTTTCGGTGCATTGCTAAACCCCCAACTTCTAAAGCCCTAAACCCTAAACCCAAAGCCCTAAACTCTAAACGCTCCAAAAAAGGCACCAAAAAACAAACAAACCTAAACCCTAAACTCTGAACCGGTGGGGGGTGGCAGGTTTCAGAGCAGTGTTTCAGACCTGGCTCGGTCTTCCTTCGCCTTCACTCCAACACCCGGCACTCCAAACTGGGCTTCAGCGGGCTTTTTGGAGAGCTTCTGGGCTTCCGCGGCTTTTTTTGGGGGGGCTTTAGGGGCTTCAGGCGCTTCGGGGCTTTAGGGGCTTCAAGGCTCTTTGGGGGGACTTCAGATGCTTTAGGGCTCCGTATCTAGGACCCTTTTGGATCTGTTTGGGTCTAGCCTCCTCGCTAAGACTAGATACAGTATTGTTCCAACCCTAAGCCCTAAACCCTAAACCCTAAACTAAAGGGCTCAACCTAGGGCTCGAGCCTTTCAGCTTTAGAGTTCCGGAGCTTGAGAGGCCCGGAAGTTCCTCCAAAGGATAGAACCCTCGGGTTCGGGTTTGTAGTTCTAGCCCTGAGGGGATGATCTTCTATTTCTTTGGTTTAGATTTTTGTATACTCCATGCTGTGTTTTGGATAGCATACTTGTTGGTATGTATATATATATATATAGATACATTTCTATACTGACTTCAAAACTCCCCAAGACTGAACTACACCCATATAGAACCCTTAAAGGACCCATTACAGAACCCTACTAGGACCCGTCTACGCGGCTTCTGCCTTTAAGTTCCTTCAGACTTCAAGCCATCCTAAGCCCCAGCCCTAAAGCCTAAGCCCTAAGCCCTAAACCCCAAACCCTAAACCCCTGATGCCTAAACGCTAACCCCTGAAAACTGAACCCTCAGCCCTCAACCCTAAACCCCTAGACCCCTAAACCCTAAACCCCCCAAGCCTAAAGCCTAAACCCTAAACCCTAAAACCGTAAGCCTAAAGCCTAAACCCTAAACCCAAAACCCTAACCCCTAAGCCCTATACCCTAAGCCCTAGACCCCTAAGCCCTAGCCTTCAACTGGAAAGCTTCCAGGGCGCCTTGGCCTCCTGCTTCCCCAACTTGACGGAGAAATCCGGGGCCGAGTTGGCCGGCGAGGCATTGGGGGGTGGGGTTTAGGGTTTAGGGTTTTAGGGTTTAGGGTTTAGGGTTTAGGGGTTTAGAGTTTTAGGGTTTAGGGTTTAGAGTTTAGGGTTTTCGGGTTTAGGGTTTAGGGTTTTAGGGGTTTAGGGTTTAGGGTTTAGGGGTTTAGGGTTTAGGGTTTAGGGTTTAGGGGTTTGGGGTTTGCGGGTTTAGGAGGTTTATAGTAGAAGCCATAGAGTTGGAACATTATCATCCTCAAGGTCTTCAGGGTTTAGGGTTTAGGGTTTAGGAGGTAAAGTATAGGGGATCCTACCACAAATCGTCCTAAGCCCATGTTGCAGCTTTCTGGGCTTTCGCTTTAGGGTCTAGGGGGTTTAAGGCTTACCGAAACGCTGAAGAACCTACATTTTTAGGGTTCCTGATTATGATTTCCTTTATAAGTCTCCAAAAAGCTAGGCTCTTTCGGGTCTAAGGCTTAGGGCTTAAGGTTGAGGGTACTGAACTGAGGTTTGGTTTTTGCGCTCGAGGTCTAAGGCTTAAGGTTTAGGTTTCCGGACCATTTCAGGGTCCAAGGTTCGGGGCTCAGATGGGCTTACTTACGGTTCAAGGTTGAGGGTTTTGGGGTTTCGGGGTCCCTTTAAGGGCCCATTTGAGGGTTACTCGAAGGATATTTTCAAAGTACCATAGAGGGTTAGGGTTGAGGGCTTTAGCTAGGGTTTAGAGTTTAGGTATGTTTAGGCTTTGGGGTTTACTGTTTCGGGTTTGGGGTGCGATGCCCGTGCTTCGGCAAAGTAGATGGGAGTTTCTGAACATAAGGGATCCCGATATATAATCTACACCTTAACTAGTCAATTCCTTCACCCAGAATCAGGAGTATGCCATGATTCCGCTAGTTCACAGTACCCTAAACCCTAAACCATAAACCCTAAGCCCTAAACCCTAAACATAATGCCGGGTTTTGTCCCCAGCCTCGGGGTTTCGTCGCGTCTAGGTCTGTAGATGCCGCGGGTACGGGCTCGACAAGTTTGGGGCTTGGGGAATGTTCTTGCAGCTCGTAACTACGTGACGAAGGCTGGTACCATATTTGACATGGTACCATTTCAAGATAACAAAATGTATTACAATATAGGTTAATAAAATCTAAGATAATATAACATAACATAAGGTAATATAATATAACATAGTATAATATATATATATATATAACAATAAGAATTATGACAGATGAAGTAAATTTTAATGCGTTATACTATTATGTATTATAATATACTATATTACATCATAATATATTGTATTATAATATACTATATTATAACGCATTATAATACATTGTATTATAATATATTGTATTTCAGTAGAATATAGTATATTGTAATATAATGTAATATAACATATTATTTTTACTATAATATATCATAGTAAGTATAAAAGAACATTATGTAATTAAGTATATCATTATAATATAGCATAAAGTAACTTAATATAGTAAAATATTGTTTAATATAGTACAGTATAATATAATATTATAGACTAGAATATATTATGATATATTGCATCATGATACAGTACTACATAAAGTCTGTATACAGTAACATAGGTCCTCAACGCCACATTGTACTTACTTGGGTTTCACGTGAGATAGATAGCTCAAGCTTTGAATTCCAGGTTTAGGTAATGAATTTTGTGTCCTTTTGCGCACTTTACATGAATCTCCGGGACCCGAAAGAAACCAAGCCTTCAGCCCCACATGCCGCAGCTAGCCACGTGTGGACCCTGGTGATCAGCCCGATTATGTTGATGCTTGTGAGCATGGCAATCAGAATGGCATTGACCCTGATGACCATGTTGATGCGCATGATGGCAGCGGAACGATGATCATAGAACGATTTACAAAACCACACCGCAGCCCTGCACAATCACGATTTTGAAAGATCCTAAAATAGCACTGTATAGAAGGCCGGTTCACACACCTTTACATTCCCCCCATTAACGCCCCAAAACGACACCCTAAAACTTTAAGCCCTAAACCCTATACCCTAAACCCCCCAAAGCGACACCCCAAACAAGAACCTCGAGGCTCTCCTTCGCTTTCAGAGTCCCGTGCCGGAGGACCTGGGGGGCTTGGAAGCGTTTGTTTGCGGGCTGAGACTTGGTTTAGGGCTTAGGGTTTTGGGTTTAGGGTTTAGGGTTTAGGGTTTGGGGTTTAGGGTTTAGGGTTTAGGATTTTTTCTAACGGCTAGGTCAGAGAGGCTTCCCCGTAGAATTTTGGAGTTTGGGGCCTGCGGTTTTGTGTTTAGGGATTGGCTTGCTTGGGCGTCTTTGCCACTCAAGCCCGCTAAACTCCAAGCTTGCCAATAGGGTGTAGGATTTCTGCCGGATCCTAACTAGGGTTCATGGTTCGCAGCTCTCGGTTTCATGGCTTTGGAGCTTTAAACCCCAAGCCTAAACCCTAAA